GAGTGCCACATTCCTGCCTCTGCTTCCTTACCTCCCACCTACCCTTGATGGATCGCGTGCAATCTGGCTCCCACCCCGGTACGTGGTGGAAACCATTCTCTCGTCAAGATCCAACCCCTGAATCAAGTGGCCTTTGGGTCCACATTACTCCTGGCCTTTCTGCAGCATCCATCATCGCTGGTGACACCCCCTGCTTGCACATGTCTGCTCCCTTGGCTGGCTTCCTTCTCCATTTCCGCCCTGCCCTCCCCCGCCTCCCCTGTCTGATTGGGTCTCCTTTTGTTTCACAGACATTAAGGAAGGTCACATGCGCCAAGCGCCAGCCCAGCACCTGGCATGTGGCTTCCTGCCTCCTGCCCCTTTCGCTTTGCTGGTGCCTCCTTCCTCACAAGGGTGGACCTGCCCCAGAGTGCAGCTCTGTTTCTCCCTCTTCTCTGCTCTAAAGTCTAATTGCCCAAGATCAGCCTTAGCTCTGCCTCTTAGCAGCTGAGAGACCTTGGGCAAGTTACTTAACCTCTCTGTGCCTGATTTTCCTCATCTGTAAAATGAGTGTAAAAACAGTGCTACCCTCACAAGATCACTGTGAAGATTAAATGAGATGAGGCACGTAGAGTGCTTAGCATGGCATCTGGCTCATACAAGTGTTCAGCAAGTATGATCTGCTATCATTAGTATTAGCGTTATTATTATCATTCCAACAGCTTCGACTTTCACTCTGCCTCTAACCCTGACCTTTCTCGTAACCCTAGATGCCCCAGGGGCACTTCAACCTCAACGTGCCTGAGATGGAGTTGTCCTCCTGGGCCTGTTCCTCTCAATCCTGACAAAGTCCCTTCCCAGCCTAGGTGGAAACATGGGGACACGCGTGTCTCTGCCTCCCCGTACCCAGGGCCCAGGTGACCAGGGAGGGCTTCTTGGCAGGGATGGCACTTGGTTGGGGACCAGGTCAGGGGGGAAGCAGGGTGCTCCAGGCCTGAGCGACTCCAGCGCCAAACCCTCCGGCCCTCTCCTTCCAGGCTCCCAGCAGGACCGCTCCTCCCGGCTTTGTGGTTGGGTGGGGCCGGGTGACTGGCTGAACAGACCCACTAGTGACTTGGGGACATACCCCAGCTGGGGCATTTGACGCCAGTGCGAACCCAATCAGGCTTTTCTTTACCCTCTGCCACTGCAGCCAGCAACGTTCTAGAAAGGCATGCTCTGAAGCAAAGAGAACGCTGACACAGAGCAGAGCCCCCGCCAACCCACGACATACAAGGACACGTACCAGGAGTAAGTAGGAAAACGCGGGTTTTGAGCCACTGGGATCTTAGGACAGGTTGCTTCCACAGCGCAGCCTAGCCTATCCTGACTAGGATATGATACAGCATCCCACGCTCCACGTGGGAACTGTCCAGAGGGAATTCCAGGGATGGGAAACTAAGCTGGAGGCTGGATGCAGAGGGCTGAGGGAGCAGGATGGGCCAGGGGGCTGTCCTCAGGGCTGCCCTGAGCGTCCCGGGCACTGCTCAGCTGCTTGTGCTGGTGCCTTTACAGGAACTTGCCAGAGGGGAATCCACAGGACTCCATGCGCCCACAGCATCTGGGGTCCACTACAGCACTCCCATCATTCTTTGTTCACTATCTGCCTCCCTGACAAAAGGCTGCAAGGGAGAGAGAGCTGTGGCCGCCTTGCTTATCACCAGAGCCTAGAATAGTGCCTATAACTTATTAGATGCTCAGTAACGCTGCTGAAAAAATGAATGAGTGAACAAATCAAAGGAGGCTAACCAGGCGTACTCTGTACATTTTCAGAGAGGGGAGGACAAGACCCAGCCCAAGCCGCTGGACCCCACTTGGAAGCTTCCAGAAGACCCGCTGTCCTGAGGGACAAAGCCCAGGGGTCCTGGCTCCGGGGCAGTCTTGGGGGAACTCACCCACATAATAGGAAAGGGTGCGCTTGAGTCGATCGAAGACAAACCAGCGCTTCCTCCACGATTTAATCTTGCCCCCCATCTTGACCAAGTAGCCACGGCAGACCTGGTGGAATGCAGGGGTGAGGAAAGACCCAAATGTGCTGCCCCTAAACCTTTATTCCCTGAGCAGCAATGTCAGTGCCATCGCCTGGGCCTGTATTTGTGGGGGGGCTGTCCCCAATATCTCTTCAGGCCAGCACACCTGGTCCTGGGACAGAGACCGCTGGTGTTAGGGAAGGAACTAAGGCCACTATTCCGAGGACCCAGGAGGTGCCTCTGAACATGGGGTCCCCACCACGACACCCACCCCGTGCCCCGGGGCCACGCATGCCTGTACCTTGCTGCTGAGCACCACGTGCAGGCAGGTATCCACACCGTGGCCTGAGGACTCAATGTGGGTCTTCAGGTCAAAGTCCTCCTTCCGGATCGGCAGGTAGCGGGTCAGGGGTCGTGCCTGGGAGCAGAGGATAGGATCAGTAGGGGCCCCTCTCTTCCCCTGTCATTCCCTTGCCCGGGCCCCTTGGCTTCAGTCCCGAACCCCCGAAAGCCTGCCATCACTCCCTCCCCACCCTCCTGGCTGTCACTCTGGTTTCATGGGGCTTTGGCCAAAGTAGGGACCTGGCACGCCTGTGCTGACTCCACCCAGGTCTGGGCAAACTGGTGAACGGCTCTACGCCTCAGTTTCCCAGACACGGTTGTCCCTGTCCTGTCCCTGTCCCTCCTCTCCCACCTGGGCTGAATGGAACAAAGCAAAGGACCAGATGTGAACATGCTCTTGGAAGAGAAGCCCAATAAGAAGTCTGGTCTTGGGGGCTTCCCTGGTGGCACAGTGGTTGAGAGTCCGCCTGTCTATGCAGAGGACACGGGTTCGTGCCCCGGTCCGGGAAGATCCCACATGCCGCGGAGCGGCTGGGCCCATGAGCCACGGCCGCTGAGCCTGCGTGTCCGGAGCCTTTGCTCCGCAACAGGAGAAGCCACAACGGTGAGAGGCCCATGTACCACAAAAAAAAAAAAAAAAGAAGAAGCCTGGTCTCTAACTTCCTGTGGGGCCTTGTTTGGGTCACAGTCCCTCTCTGGGCCTCCGTCTCCTTATATGTAAACAAGGGCTTTGAACTAGAGAATCTCTAAGGTCTGTTCCACCTCAAAATTTCTGATACTTAACTAGAATTCTCAGTCAACTGGAATTTTTTTCTCCTCTTTATTTCGAGGAAGAATGTTAGAATGACATGAAAAGGAAACATTACAAATTATTTAAAGAAGAAACAGGGACTTCCCTGGTGGCGCAGTGGTTAGGAATCTGCCTGCCAATGCGGGGGACATGGGTTCGAGCCCTGGCCCAGGAGGATCCCACATGCTGCGGAGCAGCTAAGCCCCTGCGCCACAACTGCTGAGCAACCCCCGCTCGCCACAACTAGAGAAAGCCCGCACACAGCAACGAAGACCCAATGCAGCCAAAAATAAACAAATAAAAATAAATTTATTTTTAAAAAAAGAAGAAACAAAACGCTCAACTTCCCGGAGGTGCCCCAAAGATGAGCTGACTCCATCCACCTCCTCAAAGCTGGTGGCCCCTGCAGCCATTCCTGAGCCCCAGCGCAGGGGCTAGAGAAGAGAGTCCCAAAGAGACCACTGACAGACACAGGAAAGGGGAACTAGGCATTTAGCAAAAGATTCCAAGCACAGAGATAAAACTCACACACAGGGTTTCTTAATTATTTCTAAATTCCCGAGCCAACCTACCCCTTAGAATTCATGTTGCAGCATCATTAGGAAATCATGGAGCTATGATCGCCAATCACTGCTGGGTAGGACCTCCACGCTGGGGAGGCCTATGGAAACCCCCAGAGGAAGGGACAACCTGTCTGAATCTCACAGGTTCTCCCAGGGGCCCAGGGTCTGGGACCAGACACACGAGTCGATTTCCCTGCCCAACCTAATTTCTCCCTCTCCCTTCAACTGCTCTGCTCAAGTCTCCTGTATAAGGAAAAAGCCCAGGGTTGGCTTTTGTGTAAGGATGGATTCTTGTCCCAAGGAGAAACTACTATATTCTCTTTTGGAGATGTAAACCGAAAGTCAGAGTGAGGCCAGCTGCTGGTGGTGGGGCCTAGAGCCAAAAGGTCTGGTGGAGTGAGGCTAGGACAGCCACAAAGCACCAGAAGCAGGAGGGCATCAGGGACCGGGAGGGAGGTGCAGTGCAGACTCACGAGGCAGAGGTGAGGCCCCTGCGAGAGGCCAAGGGTAGCCACCCTGATTCTGACTCAGCTCCGATCACTGGAAGGCCTGTCCAGACCCTCTTCTCTCACACTCACACACACACAGACACACACAGTGGGTCCCTGTAGCAGGGTTAGGACCCTGGGATATCCCGACCCCTCGTCAGCCCTACCCTTAAGCCCACCACCCACTCACCTGCGAGAACTGTTTCTCCCGCATCTTGACCTCCTTCTCCACGAGCTGATGCCTCCGGGCGCTCTCGCCCTGCAGCCTCCGTTCCACCTGCTCCCGCCGCCTCCGCTCCTCCTCCAGGGCCTGCCGCCTCAGCTCCATCTCCCGCTCCTGCCCCCAAAGCCAGGGCTCAGTGCCCACCACTGCCCTCTTCCCCCCCAAGTCCCTGCCACCCCTCCTCAGGCCGGGGCAGAGCCACAGGAGGCACCCACCTCAGAGGGCAGTTTGGCATGAGGGGCCGTCATCCTCCAAGCCCACCCTCTCTAAGGACCTGGCTGACAAGGGTAAATGCCTTAAAGTGAGACCAACCTGGCTTCAAATCCTGGCTCTACCACCACTATGAGCTCTGGACCCTGACAAACTCCCTAAGCCTCAGTTGCCTCATCTGTAAAATGGGGCCAAGAGTGCCTACTCCTGGGATTGTAGCGAAAATTAAATGAGATCATGTGAATAAATGCCCATCACTAACTCTGGCAGGAAGGAAGCACTCAATAAAAAAAACGGGGCTTTTATAATTTTATCTGAATTCCTAGGACATGGATTGTCTAAACAACCTAATCGATAAGTGAAGGCCCTCTGAAACTCCAAATGAGAAACATTTATGTTTGAACTTTAGATTTTATGGGAAAAAAATGAACTTATGAAAGCCATTATCAAAAGATTTTCAGTCATTAAAGCAAATCATTAAATACACAGCATGTGGGTGATGTTTTATATGTCTTCATCAATGATAACAACCTTCATATTATTAACTCCCCTCTGTCATTTCTTCCCAGCTCAAAACTTAGCAGAACCTCCTTTTTCTCCATTTGTTGAGAGATGTTTGTAAATCTGCCCTCCTCTGAAGTAAATAAGACTAAGAGGCCTTCTTTTCTGGTTGATCTTCTGCTCCCCGGGTCCCACTTTTAACTCCAGACATGCAGAATGCCCGGATGATAGAGACGGATTCTCTATTTCACCTCCTCCCCAGGCACAGTTTCCTCCACCTGGCTGTGGCCACAATGAACCCCTGGCCCCTCTGCTGTGTCCCAGACCCATCGGTAGGCAACGTGAGGTCCCCGCAGCCAACACCTCTGCTCTGGCTTGGACATCTGCCTTCTCTCTGTCCCCATCCTTCAACACCAGTTCCTAGCCATCCCCAAGAGGAGTGACCTGGCACTCAGGTAGACAGGAATCAAAATTTCTGTGGTGGCCAAACATCCAAAGAGGTGAACACACAAAGACTGGAAGCTCCCATACGGGAAATTCACCGTTGGACACTGGGTGATGCCTCCCCTTTTCCTAAGAGCTGTGAAACTGGTCATCTCGCCAAGCCTCCGCATCCCCCACTTGAGGAACACAGCCTTTGAAAACACTCTTCCTCAAGGGACTGCTGCGAGGACAACGTGGGTGAAGGGGCCTGGGGAGGAGCGGAGGCCCTTGGCGGGCGGAGGGCAGCCCCGGGGCCTCGCGCCTCCCCCGGCCCCCCGTGGCCCAGATCTGCCTCACCCTCGACTCCATGAGCCGGCTCTTCTCCGCATGGGCGTCTTTCAGCATCTTCTCCATTTCTTCCGTCTTCCCCACATCCAGGCCGCTGGCACTGGGGAGGCAAGGGGAGGAGGCACGCGGTGGAGGCGGCGGCCCTGGTGTGGGCAGGACGGCAGCGGGCCGTCGGGCGGCGGCCGGGGTGCGGGTACCTGGACATGGTGTCGGGGGAGCAGGCCGAGTTGCCCCCCGTAGAGATGCTGGTCTCCATGCTGTCTGAGCTCTCCAGGCTCAGCGTGTCGTAGGCGTGCTCGCCCTCCTCCCCTCGCTCCCTGGACGCCGGCAGGTGGTGCAGGATGGAGTGACGCAGGAGCTGCGGGCAGCCCGAGGGCCCGGCCGGGAAGGGTGCGGCCCCGTGCAGGGCGTCCCACTGGCACTGCGCCTCGGCTGCCGCCTTCTGCTTCAGCTCAGCCAGCCGCCGCCGCTGCTCCTCAATCACCTGCTGCCCTGCAGGAGCGACAGGCGGGAGTCACGGTGGGCACCCCACCTCCCCAGGGAGGACGCCGGCCGCATCACAGACGGAGGGAGGAGGCGAGCGGGGAGAAGGTAACACGGGGCAGCCCCCTTGCCCCCCACCAGCTTCCCTGAAGCCCCCGCAGCTCCAGGTCCGGCTGCCCTGGCAACGCTCCGTCACCTGCACAACTGGCCACAGCCGTGCAGCCTGACTTCAGCGCTCCTACCGTGTCCTGAGCCCACACGCGGCACCGAACCTGCCCAGGTGGGGCCCCGGCAGCACGACGGCCAGGTGGCTCCAGCTCACAACCAAGGCCTGAATAGGTGGGCAGGGCACATGCACCCACCCTGCTGCTGCGGAAGGGTGAAGGAAGAGGTGCTGGGAGCCCCACGAGCACCCACATCAATGCAGACCCCGCGGCGATGCAGAAGCAGGAGTGCCAGTGGCAGGAAAGGAGGAAGGGGAGACGAGGCGGAGCACAGCTGAGGCAGGAGAGAGCTCATCTGGCGGGGTGAGGCCAGCCCAACACCCCAACCCAACTCAGCCTGGGAGTCTGCCTGCGGGCAGTGGGGGCCTGGGCAGAATACATCATGCGGATGCCCGGGCAGGGGCTGCCTGGCCAAAGCAATGCCCTCAATGACCAACGCTCTACCTGCTGGGTCGTCAGTTGGGAGGGGCTCGGCAGGAAGCGACTCGACTGGTAGGGGGGCCCCGGGTAGAGACACAGAGGGGATGAGAGGGGAGAAAGGCAAGGACTTGGACTTTCAAAACAAACAAAACGCACACGAGCAACCAGGACTCCTGGGTCCCTAGAGACAATATCTTAGGGAAGCATTCGTGGAGGTCATCAAGTCCAACCCCCTGCCTCCAGACAGGATAAGGTCTATCTCTACTCAGGTCAACAAGCATTTCCCTTATTTGCTGCGGTCTCTAGGAAAGATCTCACAGCCACCACCACCCCACCCCACCCCACCCCCGCAGACCCTTAGTCCCCTGCCCTTAGTCTTTTGATAAATAACCAGGAATCTCTTCTTTAGGTACCTAATCCAAATCATTTTTGCTCTTGCCTAGATCCCAATTAAAGGAAAAACATCCTGGGAAAGGCGTGGGCATGGATGAGGTAGGGTGGGGAATGCGTGGCAGATGTCCAGGGCCCCCAGGAGAGCAGGTGGGCTGGCATTGCAGCCACTCACCCTTCTGCTGGAGGGCCAGCTGGCGCTTGGTCTCAATGTCCTGCAGCGTGGCTGCCAGGTTGCGAGGAAGGCTGCTTGTGCCATTCTGGGCGAGTAGAGTGCTCTGCAGAGGGAAACAGAGCATTGGGGCCCGAGGCTCAGAAGGCACCTCCCCCCACCCTCAAGGCTCTCATGGGAGGCTGTGACCTCTCTCCAGTGTGGCTGTCTCCATCCCCCACCATCACCACCCTGCCACGCACACAGCCCTCCCACTGTCTTCAGACCTTTGGGGAGGGGCTACGGCCCAAGGTAGCCACGCTGAGCTGGGAGGAGGAGGAGGAAGAGCCAGAGGAAGAGGGGAGGGGGCCACTGCGGGTCCCGGGCAAGGGGCTAGTGGCCTCACCATCCATCTTGGAGCAGTAAACCTGGAGGGAAGAGACACTGTCTGGTACCCCCGGCTCCCCCACCATCCCCATGGCATCTAGGCTGGCTGTGATCCAAGGTACCGCCCCAGCACCCGAGGCCTCTGTCTCTAGCTGACAACAGCACTGAGCCTCCTGGGCCAGCCCAATGGACAGATGTTATTGGCAGCTGCCAAGCCTCCTTTCCAGGCTGCTCCTCCTTGGGCCAATCCCTGGTCCAACCCTGCATCTTAGAAAGGACCTTGTAAGTCAACCCATGGGAGGAGTTAACACCAACGGGCAGAGCTGTACAGGAGACTGACTGGAGGCCGGCGCTCCCTCTGGTCCCAGCTCTGCTGCTAAGGGGCTGTGACCTTGGGCCGCACCTCCCCACTCTGGGCCTTGGCTTCCTTATCTGCAAAAGGAGGGGGTAGGGCTAGACTAAATAATCGCCAAGCTCCCTCACAGCACTAATGTTTGGTGAATATGGTCTTTGGAGTCAAGAGCCCTGGCCCTCAGCGTAGCCTCTGCTGCTTCCTAGTTGTGCGACCTCGGAGAGATTACTTATCTTCTCTGGGGCCCCAGTGTTTGATCTGCAAAACGAGAGTTATCGTCATCTACCTCAAAGGCCTGTGGTAGTGATTAAATGAATCAAAACATGTAAAAATCTCAAACCAGCTGGGCACAAAATAGAAATGTCACACAAACTACTCCCAAAGGAAACACAGAATTTTAGCTGAGATCACAGTCTTAGAGATGCAATGTCTTCCCTCAAAGAATGAATCTTGAATGGGGCATTGCGGGGTAGGGGGGTTCAGGCCCTCCAGCCGGTCAGTGGAGCAACACTTGGGGCAGAAGGCTGCCCAAATACTCTTCCCACACCCCGAGGGCAGCAGCTTGCCGCAGGCTCAAGCAGGGCCATGCCCCCAATGGCAACTAGGAGTCTTGGGCATCACTTCAGAGCCTTTGTCCCATTCTGTCCTCCAAGTGTCACCCCTGGGGAGACCAGGAGAACAAAATACTGGCAACTCTCCTAGGACACACAAGTTCCAGAGACAACTGGCTCAAGAGTGCGTCAGGCCAAGACCGAGTGAGAAGCTCCGGGGGTGAGGGCCACCGAGGACAGCGTGAGGCACCGCCGCTCCCGAGCCTCCTTGCATTGGACAGCCAAGCATGTCGAGCCTCGGACTCAGGAGGTTGGCCCTCCACACCCGGAGTGCCAGGATGGCTGCCCAAGAGGAGACTCTCACTCCCCTCTCAGGGTCCAGAGGCCCCTGTTGCCCCGGGCTGGATTAACCCCCCACCACCTAAGGCAGCACTGTGGGGTTGATGGATCGGCAAGGAGGGGTTACCTGCAGCTGACGGGAAGCTTTGGCGGGCAGAGGCGGGGGGGAGGAACGAGGGGAGGCTGCAGCGGGGCCAGTCCCCAGCCCGGCCATCAGCTCCTGGTACCACTGCTCTAAGTCTACAGCAGGGAGCAGCAGCTTCTCCATCTGGAGGGGGCATGGGGAGGAGGACAGGGGACAGGAGGGGAAGGATGGAGAGGAAAGGTCAAGGAGTGAGGGGAAAGGAAAGGGGAGGAAAAAGGAAGAAAAGGGCAAAGAAAGGGGAAGGTTGGAGGAAGGGTAAAGGAAGACCATTATCAGGGAAACAGACAGGAAGGGAGAACAGGAACGAAGGAAGGGAGAAAGGAGAGCGTAAAGAGAAGAGAAAACAGTGAGAAAACAGTTGCCGCGAACGTGCTAAGGGGGCAAAGAGAAACAGGGCACAACTCCCAGACCACAGACACGTGCTGCGCCAACCACGATGCCGGCCAGCCGGAGCACCGCCCCCCCACCCCCCACCCCCAGCAGGCAGCGCTCCCCCCCCGGGGGCCGGCTGAGGGCTGAGATGCCACTGCGCACGGGCAAAGCACACACAGACAGAGCCACGCCGCTAGTGGGCTGCGGGTGGCAAGAACACACAGACCACCAACCTGCGCTGAAGGCGGGATAGAAGCGAAGGAGGAGGAAGAGGGCAGTGCGGGAAGAAGGCAGGTGGTGGGAACCAGGTCCTGGGAGGCAGGGGCCCAGGGAGGCAGGCCTGGCGTGGGTGCTGCGGGCACAGGCGAGGTGCCCCACATGGCCTTTAGCTGCTCAAGCGTCACGTACTTGGGGGAAGGCCAGACACAGGAGGGAATACAAGAGGTTAATGGGACGGGAACCCAAGAGATGCCCCTGCCCACGGGCAAGGGAAGGGTAAGAGGAGGACACACAGAGCAGAGTAGGCTTGTAGAGCCCGGGAAAGCCAGGGTCCTCTCCGCAGGATGCCCTCACGCTAGAGCAGAAGCCTCCCCTCCTTGAGCCCTCAGGAGCTGAAGGAAGATCCCGAAGACCCAGGCAAGAGAGGGAACCACTCCCAAGCCCCCTGACGCCAGCTGCCCTTCTCCCTCACTGCTGAAGACGGACCCTGCTGCCCCCCCAACCCAGGCCTGAGGGGCAATCGAGGGCATCCATGAGGAGGCCCTTGGGCATAGGTGGGCTCACTCGGTGGCTGGTACCTCACTGTCAGGCAGGGGCTGGGCGAGCGCGCTGGGGGAGGTGGCAGAAGCATAGGGGTCCAAGCAGGAGCACAGCTGGAGAACCTCTGCCAGGCTCACATACTCCTAGGGTGCCCAGTGGGAGGGGGAAGGGTGGGCAGAGAACAGGTTAACAGGATTCAACCAGGTACCTGACATCCACACTCCATGTCAAAGGGCCATCACTCCATTCAATACAAAATCCAGAGCAGGCGTGCGTGGGGAGCTCAGCTGCCCACTGTGGCCTCAGCTGGCTGCCGGGCAGTGGGGTGGGGGGCAGAAGAGGGCCGACAGAACTGACTGTCTGAAGGCTCTTCTTAACCTTCACTCTTGAGGCCGCCTTGGCATCCGGGCCCTGCCACTGGCAGACCCTGAAAGCCCATTCCTGGGTTTGCCCTGGGCTAGGGGCAGGTGAAGGAGCCCGAGGAAGGTCTTCCAAGAGTCCACCAGGGACCAGGACCCACCTCCCAGAGAGCCTTTCTGTCTCCGACACCTTGGGCCTCCCCAATGAGGCACACACATGTATCACCGAGCGCCAGTCACAGCATTCCCATGGGTCCCCTCACACCCCATCTGCTGGAGCAGGAGCTGGAAGGAACAGGAACTGGAGGCACCACCAGAGCCTGAGCAAGACAGGCCCTGAGAAAGAGGCCTTAGCAGGGACTAGCTAAAAGCCCAGAGACAAAAACCAGCCCACTGCCCGAAGGTTAGGACTTGGAAAGATGCTCACACACCAGATTGTGGGTTGGGAAGACAGGGACTGTTGTATTCTCTGAGCAAATCCTTAGAATTCTGAGCTTATCTAGGTGTTGGGGACATGGTAGACATCCAGAATGCATGCAGAATCAAAGTACAGGATCCTAAGCCTGCCCTATCCAGGGGAGCCCAACCTGACCTAGCTCCAGAGGGGGACCGTCCTCCAGGGGTCACAGAAAAGGAAAATGAGCTAGCAGGTCCAGTGTGTTGTGAGAACGGATGGATGGCATGCAGAATATATGCAAATTTATATGCAAATTGATGCTCTGATTTTGCATGGACTGCCCAGGCACCTATGGAACAACAAACTCTGGCCAGACAAAGGATTACTGCCACACGCCCTTCAGCTGGGCCATTGGGAGGAGCTGAGCGCAGAAGCTCAGCAAGCAGGCAGACAGGCAGTGAGTACAGCAGAGCAGGCAGTTAGCTGTGATTACCTCTTGTGCTTTGGGGCAGAGCTGAGTGGAAGCAGGTGGGGTTAAGGGACCAGAGGAGGCCCCAGCCTGAGAAGACCCTGGGAAGGGACCCAGAGCCGCCATCCCCAGCCCCACCTCTGAGGACTCGGAGATGAGCAGTTCAGCCTACAGAGAGGGTACATGTGAGGGGCCTCACCCCTCACACTCAGCCCAGCCACCCCAGGCCCAGATTGTTTGCACAGTGAGGCAGGAAACTCGGCATGTCCTGGTTGGGCCTCACACACCAGGCATGCAAAGACTCAGGAAAGAACGAGCCCCAAGGCCCACTTCTGAGCCTGTAGCCTAGTTCCAGGCAGAAGCCCAGGGAGCTCCAAGATCAGGACCCCTAGATCCCTATGCTGCCCCTTGAGCTGAGCCCACCCAGCCCTGGCCCTTAGCAAACCTCTGAGCTGCCATCCTCCCCGCCCATGCCTCCTGAATCCCCCAGATGTATTCAGTCACCCGAAATGATAAGATCAGTGGGCTCCTGGGGCCCAGAAAGGCAGCTGAAAAGAAGCAGCCAGTAGCCATAGAGGATCCAATCCCAGACCTCAGAGCCATTCCTACTCAAATTTCTCGAGTTCAGGAAAATGCCCCCATATTCAACCTCAGCCGTTGGGGTGAAGGCCCCATGTGTTGCTCCAGAGCCTCCCAGGAGACCCCTTGGGCCTGAGGCTGGGGCCCAAACCAACCATGTTACCTCTTTGAGGGTCGACGTGGTCTTCGGGAAAGCCCTGCCCCCTGTGAGGGAGTGGTATCTTCTTTCCAACATAGCCAGTTTCTCCTTCTCCTGCAAGGCCAAAGCAGCAGAATCAGAAAGGAGTGGGAGTGGGTCAAGGGGCCCCAAGTAAACGGGGATCCCACCTGGCTAGCCAGTCTCCACCCCAGCCCTTCTGCACTCACCTCCCACTCCCCCAGCCCCTCGCCAGCCCTCATCCCCCGCCCAACCTGACTGGGGCTACCTTCTGCAGCAGCTGCAGGGAGGCATTCTTATCCCGGGCTAGGCGTTCTGACTCTTGCACAGCCTGGGACCGGATCTGCCCAGCCTGACTGTCCAGGACCGCCAGGCGCTCCTGGAGGAGATGGGGGTAGTGGGTCAGACACTGGGGAGACAGGGCTGAGCCCAAGGTGAGGCTTGGCCATCTCTGCTGCCCAGAGACCCTGGGCTTGGGTGAAGGGAATCAACTAGCCCTTCTGTTTGGCCTCGTCTCACCCAAGGAAAACGCAGGCTGCTGTGGTCTGCTCCCTCACCCCTCCCTCGACCAGTGACCCCATGCCACCAGGCACACCAGCCAGAACTCAAGCTCCCAAATCTCTCTCCCCGCCCACCCCAGTCAACGTGTCCGGAATCCCAGAGATGCTGAAACGTTCTCCACCTGCCCCCGTGCCTCCATCTCACTGCCACCACCCCAACCCAGGCCCTCTGTTTCCTGGCCTGGGCTTCTTCTCACGCCTCCTGCTTCCACTCTCTCAACTTTCTGATCCACGCCTACACTGCCACAGATAGCTTCCTAAAATGGCCTTTGAGGTTTGTTTTCGTTTGCTTGCTTGTTTGAATTTTCTAATCTTTTTAGAATGCATATTACTTGAATTTTTTTTTTTTTAATCCACGAGTAAGGGTAATCAGTCCTCTTCTCAAAACCTTTCAGCATCTCCTCATTACTCACGGGATAAAGCACAAACCCCTCAGCCAGCACTCAAGGGCTCCTGGAACTGGGCCTCCACTTTCCACCCTCCCTCCTACCCTGAGCCCTCAGCTCGGCCCTATTGTAATGTCAGCGGTGCAGGTGTACACTCCCAGGCCTTTCTTATACGGTTCTCTTTGCCAGGAATGCTGTCCTGGCTTCTCCACCCATCAAGAGCTTATTTATCCTCCAAGACCAGACCCAATGCTATCTTCTCTCCAACATCTTCCTTGATCACCACTCAATTCCTTTGCTCCCTGCTCTGTGCTCAAATTATTCCATATCACCATTTGCCTTGTATTGCTGTTACTTGTGAATATATGTCTCCATCACCACCACCCCGCCCAAGCTGTCCGATCCAAGGCCCGGGCCAGTGTCTTTTTTGTCTCCATATCCCCAGTAGGGCTTAGCGCAATGCCTGGCTCAACAATCATGTGCTAAAAGGAAATGAAAAGATAATAAGTGAGAGAGAAGGAGAGGGGCTCAGGAAAATGGGCTGGGTTTATCCAAGGAGGGCTTCCTGAAAGAGGAGGCCTTAAACTATCACCATTAAGAGCAAGACATAGGAGAGAAGGGAGGGAAGAAGGGAACTGTACTAAATCTGGGGTCAGCCCAAGCAGACTGAAGCAGACCAGGTGGTAATCCTCACAACAAGATCTGCAATTTACTGAGAACCTGTCAGGACCCAAGAACTTCGCTAAATGCTTTGCACGTGTTACCTCATTTAACTCTCTTACGAGGCAGATGCCTTTATGCCCATTTCACTGATAGGCAGATGCACTTGTAAGGCAGAGCAGCTCAGGGAGAGAAGCATGGGATCTGGACTCAGGGGGAAGTCCAGTGGCTCCCCACTTACCACCGAACTCAGGCTAGCCATCTAGCCCCACTTTTTGACACCCCTCCCCAATCTCACTGCCCTCACCTCCCACCCACTCACTCCAGCCTGGCAAAGTGCACATGCATGCATATGTGTGCTCGAACACTCAACTCTCAGCCACAGGTGTGTGGGCCGCCTGGCTCCTCCCCCTTCTCCTCACCCACACCTTCCTAACCCTTGCTTAACACAAGCCTTCTCCCAACTTTACATCCCCGCCCCAATACCCTGTCCCGGTCTGGCTGAGATCAGGAGGAGACATCAGAGCATCTGGAGCTCCAGAACCAGCCAGGATGCGATACCAAATCCCCTTGTTTTACGGCTCAGCTGAGCCAGGGCTGGGCCAAGGCTGGAACCCAGGTGATGCCTTTCTAGTACCCCTGGCAGGCTCTAATATCCAGATCTCTGGTCTTTGTATGTGTCCCAGCACTCCCATCAGAGAGCTCTACAAGGGCAGGAGCAAGTCTCCTCTTCAGCCCCCTGCTCCATCTCCGTTTCTCCCTTCCCTGCCCAGCCAGGGCCCAGCTCTGAATGTGAGCCCAATCCACTTTCCACTGGAGGACTGGGGGGAGTCAGAGCTTAATAACAATAGTTATTGTTCACTGAGTGCTTACTATGATCATGTCCTATGCTGTCTTCACATACATCATCTCCTTTAACGCTCACAACAGCCTGTTATTGTTCTTGTTTTACAGATGAGGAAACCGAGGCTCAGCAAGGTGAAGTCAAGCCGGCACTGCGGGCCTCGCGGCAGGGATGGG